TGCGAGTGATTTCCCCCTTCCCCAATTCTCCGGCGTCACTTTGGTGCGTGTCCCTGGGCGGGCTGGCTGGCTGCTCCTCGGGAAAGAAAGCAACAGGCTTTGAGTTTGTTAATTCGGAGAAAGCATCAGTAGCCGCCTGGTCGCGGTTTCCCCCTGTTGTGTGTGTGCCTCTTGCGGCTTCAGGCCGAGAAGAAATCCTCGATCCTAGCGTTGTCAGGGCACACTTCCCTGGTATGTGTCTTTTGCTGTGTAAACGTACGGGGAAAAAAAAGAAAACAGTATGGGGTGATACATCATCTGTCTCAAACTTAGGCTTTGTTAATAGACTGTTAATGTGCTACAGATCTGCATCATGGAAAAGCAAGTGCTTGAATCCTCTGAGGAGCGAACATTTCAGTACCAAGATTCTCTGCCTTCCCTGCCCGTACCTCCTCTTGGTGAATCTTTAAGTAAATACCTTGATGCAGGTAATGGCTTACTGTTGTGATAGTATCTTGGTGTGTGCTGTTGTAACCAGGCTAATCTGAAGATGTTTGTGAAGTGATTTGTAGAGGCAGCTTGTATGAATTGATATAATTGGGATGGGGGATCCGCAAGTTTTAGAGTGCAAAAGGTCTTTTTCAGGTTCAAAATGGGATACTAAGTGCCCAGAGCAACCTGAGTAAAAATTTCCATTTTATCCCTATTTGCTTTTCTTCAGCATGGAGGGGAATTGGGTATGTGGGAAGATTAACTTTTTGATTTGAGGTTTTTTCCCCCTAAGGTTTTGGGTTTGTTTTTGTTTTTCAGCTATATCAGCTGTTCTAGTGAAAGATATTTCTCCATCTACATATTTTGTTTTGCATAATGATTACTTTGCTTGTTTATGACTGTGTTTGCCCAGAATCTTGGTTAAAAAAAAAAAAGTTATTTCAAACTTTTTCATACTTGGATGTTCTTCTTTCTCACCAATGCTACTAACTATACAGTGGTGGGAAAAAGCAGTGGTGGGCATTTTTTGATAATTTCTGCCCTGAAATGTTTGCTCTCTAAAGAAGATCACATAAGAAAAAAGTTTTGAAAACAACATTAGTGCACATGTGTCTAGCTTTGTTTATAAAGCAGAGACAGCTGCTAAGTTCTTTTTTATCATGTCAGGCTTTGATATGTAAGGGATGACAAAGATATATTACCTAGTATCTTGAAATTAATTTCCTATGTTTCTTCAGTAATTTTCAGAACTCTGAGACATTGAGCTTTTTTCTGGAACATCTGCTTTGTGTTTTACCGTCTTACCTGTAATACAGGAATGCTAACAGAGTAAGACCTAGAGTTATGTACTTAGCAGAAACATATTACACCAAAGTTTCCCTTTCCCAAAATAGAAATCCTTAAGTTTGCTCTGAGTTTCCTTTTATTCTGGGTGTGGTGGAAGTGGCCCAGTAGATGGTTTTCTTTGCTGTTCCTTACGTCATCACATTTTGATGCAGAACGTTGAAAGACGGTTTTAGAGAAAAAAATGTTGTGTGTGTATGTGTGTCAAAAAAAGTTTTATTTTTGTTGTAATGCACATTAACTAAATGTCATGGTTTGTGCAAGTTGTGCTGCAATAGTAGTGAACCTGCAATAACAGAATTGCCTTTTAGAACTTACTTTTGTAACCCCAGCTGGCTCTCCAAGTTAATAAATAACTGTCTCATGGAGTGATAAAATCTGGCAGTGAATTTGTTTGCTCTTGTTTTCTGATTCTGATCTGTGTTTTCATAAATGCTTTATCACATGGCCCTGGGTTTTTTTCATTGTGAAGTTACTTCCTACTTGCTGTTCCTTGTACATAAGTCATTCTATAACTTTGATCATCATTGTTGATCTCCTTGAGTCTCACTGGAGGCTGGAGGAAGGTTAGTCCAGTATTTTTTGTTCTGCCACAGTCTTCCCTTGTTCAAATCACTTAAAACCAGAATGCGCAGTGCACAATTCTAGACACTAGCTCAGTGATTCTCATTGCTTAAGCTTTTCATTTGTCTAGTCTGTGAAGGTGAGTGAAGGAAGGGAAGGTGCTTCTGAAGAACAATTCATAAGCTCCAAATGACCCTTCATAGATGCTGTGAATCATGTCTTCTATTGGTTGGAGGAGGATCCCCGGCGCTTAACATTAGTGTGCTTCTTGGTAAAGCACTTGTCTGTTTAAAGCCAGTCAGCTGGAAAAGCTGGACAGAGTATGTCTCAGAAGGTGCCTTATTTAGGGCTTTACAGTAGCTGCCACTGCTTTGGATTCGGGATGACTAGCCTTGTTTTGAAGGTAGGCCTTGAGCTGAGAAGGTGGCCATAGCCATGTTATTTAGCCTTTCAGCTCACCCCAGAGGTTGAGACTCAGAAGCTTGGACTCAGCCTGGGAGTATGAAAACCCAAAGCTCCAGCTTTCCAGAGGGTGCCTTAACTACGCAGCTGAAGATGTCTTTCATGGCATAGTTCTTGTTCATGGATGGAGCTTATCCATGCAGAAAGGAAGGCAAGATCTGTGGGCCTGGAAAAAGTGGCAAGAGTGAAGTTTCACTGAACTCTAGAGAGCAAGGAGATGAGTTCTGCTCCTTCCTGATAGTGCTGCTTCTACATCTCATCAAATAGTTTTTAAATGGAAAGAGGCCCTGTCATCGTAGAATCACGTAGGTTGGGAAGGGTTCATCTAGATCATCCCTGCTCAAAGCTGGTCCAACTACAGCAGGTTGCTCAGGCTTGCTTAGCTGAGTTTTGATATGGAAAGGATATCTGCAAGGATAGAGATTCCACAGCCTCTCTGGGTGACCTGTTCTGGTGTTTGATCACCCTCATGATTGCGGGAGGGGGAACAAAAAACAAATCAACAATGACAAAAAAAACCCCCTCATATTTTCCTTGTCAGAAGTTTCCTGTGTTCCAACGTGAGTCCATTTTCTCTTGTACTATTCTTGTGCATCTCTGAGAGGAGCCGTGCTTTATCTTTGCTATGCCTTTCCGTTCAGTTGTTAGAGTGCAGCAAGGTCTTCCCTTTGCATTCTCTTCTTAAGCTGAACAAACTCCGTTCTCAGTCTCGTCTCACCATCATGTGCTCCAGTCCCCTAGCAATCTTGGTCACCCCTTGAATAGGGACCAGAACCCAGTAATCTTGCTTATTTTCTGTCTTTTGTGTGTGTACATATTGCTCTGTAATGACTTTAACTTGAATAACAGAGCATACTCACTCTCCTTTACAATATTGTGTGGTAGGTGAGGTCACTCTCTGGGAAACCTGAGTGTCGAACTACCCTCACTCTGGCGAGGCTTTCAACTCTGCATTTCCTGGGTGAATACTGTAGACTGCTAAATGGTGCAAGTGGATGGCTGTGTCTCTATTTTCTTTTTTCATGTGTGTTTGCAACTGATGGTGGTGCAATTCAAGATGCATCTAGATATTGTTTATATTGACTTTAACAAGGCTTTTGGCACATCAAAAGCTTTTTTTTTTTTAAACTTCCTCATAGACGAACTGATGAGGTGTGGACAGTCAGGTGGACTGCAAACTGTCTCAGCTGCTGGGCTCAAAGTTTTGTGATCAGCAGCACATATTCCAGATGTAGTTCAGTCTCTGATGGTGTACCCCAGGGGTCCAGTATTGTTTAATATCTTCATTAATGACTTGGATGATGGGACAGAGTGCACGCTGGGTTTGCAAATGATACAAAGCTGGAAGGAGTGGCTGATGCTCCAGGTGGTTTTACTGCCATCAGAGGGAGCTTGACAGGCTGGAGGAACAGGCTGACAGGAGCATCATCAAGCTCAGCGAACAAAGGCAAATGCCAAGTCATGCACCCAGCGAGGAAGAACACCCCACACCAGCACAAGCTGGGGCCAACTGGCTGGAAAGCAGCTTTGCAGAAAAGCCCCTGGGGTCCTGGTGGACGTGAAGTTGAATGTGAGCCAGCAATACAGCCTTGCAGCAGGGCAGGCCAGCAGCCTTCAGGGCTGCATTAGGAGGAGCGTTGCCAGCAGGTAGAGAGGTGTGATCCTTCCCCTATCTTCAGCGCTGGGGAGGCCACATCTGGAGTGCTGTGTCCATTTCTGGGCTCCCCAGTACAAGCAAGACATGGACATACTGAAGTGAGCCCAGCAAAGGGCCATGAGGGCAATTAAGGGCTTGGATTATCTGACATACAAGAAGAGACAGAGAGCTGGTACTGTTCAGCCTGGGGAAGAAAAGGCTCTAGGGCGGATCTTTGCAATGCATGTAAATACTTGATGGGGAGGAGTACAGAGGACTGAGCCAGACATCGCAGTGGTATCCAGTGACAGAACAAGAGGTGGTGGGCACAAATTGAAATACAAGAAATTCCCTTTAAACGTAAGAAAACTCTTTTCATTGTGAGGGTGGTTAAGCATTGGAAGAGTTTGCTGCCAGGGAGGTTGTAGAGTCTCCGTCCTTGGAGTTACCAAAACCCAACACAGTCCTGAGCAGCCTGACCCTGCTGAGATGAGGTGTTGGACTAGATGATCTCTAGATCTATGAAGAAGAAGAAAAGTAGTGGTTGCAGGCAAGCAGTCATAATTGCAGCAAGGCACAGTTGTGAGGAAGTAAGATTTTAATTCTATAAGGATAGGTAAGTATTTGAGACCTTGCCCAGCTGAAACTCGGTTGTTACTTGCAAAAGCTAGATTAGAGATAATACAGATACAAGATTACTAAAATTAAACAAGTATCCTTCGTTGTTTCTTAACAGCTGTAAATAGATGACAGGGTTAGCACTAGCAAGGCAGACAAGAAATTAACTGACAGTAGTGTCCAGCAGCCTCAAAAATTAAATCAGACCTTATTGCGTAGGCATTGAATCAGCAGAAACTTCCTCTTCCCCCATTCTGTTTGCCACTGACTTCACAATCTAAGTATGAAGGTATCAGAAAATGTGTTAAACACAAGGTGAATACAAGAAGACAACGAGATGTGCCTGTATAGAAACTGACATCAGCAGTGCCTGTTACTGACCATAGATTTCATGGTAAAAAGGATTTAAGGAGGGTTTTAGATTAAAGTAATGACTAGTTTTGCAAATGTTTACAGAGAACTTTGGCCTGTATGTCACATGATCTGAGAGAAGTCCAAAAGTATCTTAAAATATAAAAATTGGGTGGCAGTAACTGCCATCAGTGTCACTCAAAGGTAGGCATAACATGGGACAGTGAAGGAGAATTGATGGGCAGGGTGCTTGTAGATCATGAATGGACTTTTGAAAATAAAGACAAGTGGCTTATGGTTGGTACAGCAGGGTGGCAGACATGTATGGCTCAATGTATTAATTTACAAAGTTCCTGTAAATTTAATTATTCAGTGAGTTCTGTGGCAGCTGATTGAGTTGAAGAACTCCATAGTATTTCCAGCTACAGTTTTAAATATATTGGATTTAGTTATCTGTTAGGTATTTCAGGTTTTCAGCAATTGCTTTCATCTGCTAACATCTGTATTTATTTAAAAGTATGTATTATGTTTTATTAGATCACACTGTGATTTATTTACAGATTTTTGAAAGGTGTCTTCCCTTTAAATATCTCAGTATGCACTTGTCTTTGTAATAAAAACATTTCCCTTTTACAGTGAAGCCATTTCTAAATCAAGAAGAATATCAAAGAACTGAGGATATAGTTAAAAAATTTGAAAATGGGATTGGGAAAGA